ATTATTATTATTAAATCTTTCTATATTTTATCTAATATTTTATATAAGTTTGAGCTAAAGAAAATTGTATTATATTAAATTTTAACAAATTTGTGTTAGAAATAAATTAAATTTTGATTTATAAATTTATACAACATACACTTAAAGCAAAAATATTAAAAAAAAAGTACAAAATTATGCAATGATTTGCAATAAGCTCATCATTGATCTATAGTTAAGTTTATAAATTACATTATTATATAATTTGAAACCTTAATAAACTTTTAGAAATCTATTTATTTTGAAAATTATCCATTACATCAAATTTTAAGAAATTCATGGTTAAATTTTGATTTATAAATTTATACTCTCAAATATACACCTAAAGTGAAAATATTAAAAAAAATACGGTAATTATGTATTGATTACCAATGAGCTGTTCATTATTCTATAGTTAAAATTAATTTTTACAACACATCCAAATTTTGTATATATAAAATAAAATTTACTTCAAAGCAACAACAATTAACTACATAATTAATTACAAAACATTATTAACATCTCAATTCTTCTCAAATATTCACTTTTTTTTTATTAGAATTATTATTATTATTAAATCTTTCTATATTTGATCTAATATTTTATATAAGTTTGAGCTAAAGAAAATTGTGTTTGAACTAAAAAAAAATGTTGGTATTAAAATATTAGTTATTTGGAAGATGGAAGGATTAAAGACTGGTATTAAATGATTCCAATTACTCGAAGTGAATCGAACTGAATTGCTTCCATTTGGGAAAGTACGTCGGAAAATCTTTAGAAAACTTTGATCTTTTGTTCATTAAAAGCCTTGGGATCTGCGAGAAATTGATTCAGTTTAGAAATATATAAAATAAATTCGATGTTTCATAACTGCAACGACGATGATGATGATGATAATAATTATTGTTTTTTTTGTTGTTGTTTGAAGTGAGAATTCAGCATTGGAATCCGTTGGAGATTAATTTAGATTAAGTGAGGGTCGGTAAATTGTAACGCAGCAGCAGTAGCAGCAGCAGCAGCCGCCCCCGCACACCTGAGACAAATTGGCGCCGATATTTAACGTGTTTGTGCATCGGCTTTGGTGCGAATATTTCGGCGGCAATTTATACGCCACTACTATCCCTCCTGTCCCATCCAGATGTGAATAATGAGTCTGCAACAAAACGCCCGCATACCACCGCCGCCATCATCCCCCCATCCCCCCATCTCCACAAAACCATCCTCATCCCAACTATACAACAAATAATTACGGAATGGAATAGTCATATACAATTAATCACTACGGTCTGCATTTAATATTTACAACAACAACAACAAAAAAAAATATCATCAGCACATCCAAAACACACAATTCTCTTAACAGACAATCAAAGTGAGAGTGTTAATATTCATCATCAACAGAAAAATAAAGAAAGTTTAATTATTTAAATCATCATTGATCTGTAGTTAAGATTATAAATTACATTATTATATAATTTTAAACCTTAATAAACTTTTACAAATCTATTTAATTTGTCTTTAAAATTAAACAAATAAATAATTTTGAAAATTTTCCATTTCAAAACTTATCCAAGATGCTTTTAAACAAACATCCTAAGTCTATTATTATTGGATACATAAATATTGTATTATATTAAGTTTTAACAAATTTGTGCTAGAAATAAATTAAATTTTGATTTATAAATTTATACAACTAAACATACACTTAAAGCGAAAATATTAAAAAAAAAAGTACAGAATTAGGCAATGATTTGCAATAAACTCATCATTGATCTATAGTTAAGTTTATAAATTACATTATTATATAATTTTTTACCTAAATAAATTTTTACAAATATATTTAATTTGTCTATTAAATAACACAAATTAATAATTTTGAAAACTTTTCCATTTGAAAACTTATCCAATTTGCTTTTAAACAAACATCCCAAGTCTATTATTCTTTGAAACCAATTACATAAATATTAAATTTTAACAAATTTGTGCTAGAAATAAATTAAATTTTAAATGATACTTTTATACAACCAAATAGTACAGTAATTGATTAATAATAAGCTCTTCATTAATCTATAATTAAGAATAAGTTTTATAAGATTATCTAATAGTTTTGTCCTTTAAATTTAATAATTATTTATTTGAAAATAATCAAACTAAAAACTGAAAAACTATAATAATCAAGTTGCTTTTTAAGGAACTTTTAAAATATATTAAATAAATGAACACCTGAGAGACAGTTGCATAATTAAATTGAAAATTTAAGGGATACAGAATTAAAAAAAAACTAATTAAAAACAAGATACGTCGCCCATTTCCAGGGCGCTCTTTGTTAGTATTCGAAATAAAAATAAAAAATATATAATGTACGTGGGAGGAACTGGATTTATTTAAGTATGTTTGAGCTCTGTTTTCTTTTGTGTTTTTCCGGCGCGCGCGCGCGGCCGGCGCCATCTCCATTCTTGCAGCGTTTTTAATTACAGTTAAAAGTATAACAAGGAACATCCGGTTTTAATTAAATATTTCCCGTGCACAGCACACACATATATATTTATATGTGTGTGTGTGTGTTTGTGTATGTATACGTATACATCGGCAAAATTTATAATGCAGGTCAAGCTGGCTGCGCCCTGCAGCCGCCGCCCCTCGCCCTCTCCTGCTCACTATATACTACCTAGACTGCATGCGCCATAATACACTAATAACTAACTACTGCCGCATAGGTAAGCATACCTAATGGAGAATACGTAATTTGCAAATTGCGTTTAAATCTTATAGTTTTTTTTTATTATTTCTCTTCTCTATCTGTAAACCCTGCACTCTCAATATCACAGCAAGTATTAAACT